TAATGCATGAAAATCCTAACCTCAAAAAAATCACCCGTTATAAAAATTCAACAAATTTTCACCAAAAATTTCTAACTCATGAGCATGTAGGAATACTCGAACAAGGAACATTTGTTGTAGGCGATTACTCATACGCCGTGGTGGGCAACAAATCGGTGCAACGCTGATAAGCTTATCACTACATCGAGCAAGAGAAAGTAAAGCAAGCATAGAGATAGCGACATTTTACATACATATGTATATGAGAAATGTGTTTTTGCATAGGAATACAACAAAACTACAGAATTATTGTGGTGCTGTAGATAATCAGCTATTGGCTATGCATTTACATACATAAGTAGGTATGTATAGACGTACATATGTATGTATGTAACTATATGTAAGTAATTGATAATGCTAATAAACATGTAACTGTGTCTCGAATGCAAGCAAATAATAACAAAATGAAAACAAAAGTGTACAGATAAGAAGAATAATAATAACATCAAATCGACAAATGGAAAGTGAAGATAGAAAATCAATCGAGTGCAGCTGTTACGTGATAACGAGATGTCTACACGTTTATTCTAAATTTAAAAAATATACATATTTTTTTACTTAATATAGACTTCCTAAAATTTTTGTTTCATTACACTGTACAGAACTTAGCTGGGTATTGGGCAAAACCAAATTTTTTTAAGAGAATGAGTCATAATTAAAATAATGATTTCTCTGTTTTTCGAAGTTATCCTCAGAAATCGAGATATGGGCCTTCGAGTTTGAAATTGGACCATTGGTAGAAAATCATTTCTAATTATTGTATGCAAACAACCAAAAAAAGTAAAAATATAGACGTGGTCCGGCTTTTGCTCTTATTTAAACGGGTTAAAACTTTTTTTGTGCAACCTTATATAACAGGTGCTATATGAGGTAAAAAATTAGTTCAAATTTTTTTCAAATATAATTTTTTTAATTTTTGGAAGATTTGACCCTTGACTCCTTATATCACCTGTAATATAAGTTTGTAAAAGTTATATACCGTTTAAATAAGAGCAAACGCCCGACCAAGTCTATATTTTTACTTTTTTAGTTGTCTACATACAATAATTAAAAATAAGTTTTTACCAAAGGTCCAATTTTGAACTTCGAAGGCTCATACCTCGATTTCGGAGGCTTCAAAAAACGGAGAAATTGCTATTTTACTTAAGAGTCAATCTCTTCAAAAAAATTGGTTTAGTCCAATACCCAGAAAAAAAGTTGATTTTGCCGTATAGTGTTATAGATGGATTAAAAACTTAACACACAAAATTAAGTAATTTATAGAAGACTGTATCTTATTTTATTTGTGATGCATGCAGGTAGCGGCTTTGCGTTGTAGTTAAGAGAATGACTTTAGCAGTCACGCAGGTTGATAGTGCATTTCACATCGAATTTGATTTAAGTTTCAATACTGCATCAAGCTATGTTTTGAGATAATTAAGAGAGGTAAATATCCACCAGCGCATCGGCTTCTAATTTCCATCTAGTATTCCTTTGTGAGCTAGCATCTGTTTACACAGCATTTACAACTTTAATGGTGGTCAATAGATATGTTCCCATGAGAGCTACATATGTATGTAGGGATGGTGAGTTCAGCATCTGATTCTACTGTTTCTGCTACAACATATATTTCGTATTGAAAAATACTGCAGAGGTTTCAGTGCCTGTTAACCTTCACATAATGTATTACGCATCAGTATGTGCCATACTCCTCAGAGAACTGGGTATATGGAAAGAAATAACGATAAGGCATAGACCGACTACCGATTACGTACGATCTGAAACAGTTTTTTTATAGGCTTTTCGGCATATTTCTTCCGTTGAGAGCCTGCTTACTGGCAAGGGTAACTTGATAGAACATCTGTACACCGATGGCTCCCAAATGGTACGTGGAGTTGGGGCAGGCTTTATCTTTGAATCCCTGGTATCCAGAAGATTCATTTATCTGCCCGATTTTTTAAGTATTTTCCAGGCAGAGGTGAGTGTAGCACTCTTTTAAACCCAAAAAAAAAATATAAATCACAGTCTTTAGAAATCTGATCAAACACATGTGGCCCGCGTACAACCTTAAGAGAGCACACAACTTATAAAGGACACCCAGACCTGACGTTGCGACGCTAGTAGCGATTCTTGCTAGGCATTGGCCGGTGGGCACCCCCGCGAGAAGTCTGGACAGCGATTACAACAGGAAACAGTAGAGTACCTTCTTTGCAAATATCCAACTTTAATGAGGATCTGGATTACCATACTAGGAGAATATGAGTTTACACCGCTAAAAGAACACTCTGATTTAGGCCTCGACATACAATGCTGGTTGGTACTAACATATTTACTCGAGGTTTATAAATAGTATCAAAATGGTACTTAGCTCCTCTTTGGTGGTAAAAGTTTTTCCGCCACTATTTCAACCTAGCCAAACCTTGAGTGCCTAAACGAAAGTTGAAGGCTAAGCTCCGAACAGAACAAAAAAAGGCCCCATTCCCGCAACTATTTTAGAGCCATCTCTAAAGAAATTATGTGTGTGTCGACTTAATTCAACTCCTTTTTGGTTTGAGGAATGGCGCGGTGAAAACTATTTACATATCA